GGAATAGTAACTTTTTGTTGTTGTTGTTGTTGTTGTTGTTACCATCGTCGTTGTTGCTGTTGTTGTTGCTAATTGTGGGGGCGGTGGTGGTCATAGTGGTGGTGTTGATTGAAATGGCATTTGAATTAGTATAAAAATTGTAAAGTAATTTCTACATAACTTTTTAGGTCATAAAAATGTTCTATTTATCTGTGTAATAATGTATATATATATACATATATACATAGTTATTAATATACGTATATAACGATATCCTTAAGCAAGTTTAGATTAAATCATATTCGTATAAATGTTAACTGTATAAATGAATAAATTTAGTAGAAAAAGAGAATCAACATTCCTTGGAGAATTGATGGTACAGTTAAATGAAATAATAATTGATAGATAATGGCTAACAGTAGAATCTAGGATTCGTGTTTCATCCTATTTGGGACTCGTCAGTTGAATGTAACTGTATCCTAGAGTTGTTGTTTACTCCCAGGAATTGAATCCAGTACCGTTTACTTGTAAAGCTCGTAAATTAAGGCTATATTAAGACAGTTCGCATAGGATGTTAACAAGAGACTGATCGATTGAAGCCCTAAACAACAACGAGAAGATATAAGCATACAATACCAAGTGAATTCGAAATGATAATTGGTTATTATAAATGACAAAGTAAATATTCTGTGAAAATATAGCTAGATCAAGGATAAAGTTAGTTCTTTTAGAATCATTGGTAAGGCTATATAATGTTTGGGATATTAATGTTATAACGGAAGTTAATATAGAAAGAATCTTTGATTTTATGTGAGAAAAGTGTTCTGAATTCACTTGCATCCTTGTATGCTTATCTTCAATGAGATATAGAGACAATGTCTACCATTTCAAATGTCGAAACTTTATCTAGTAAAATATTATGTCACAATATGTATTTAACAGAGTATGATAGTACATCGTTTCTAAGAGTTCACATTTTCCCATTATTGATATTCTAAACGGAACTGATCAGCTTTCGTTAGTTTGTTAGCACAGTGAAAAGATACTTTGGTATTTCTTGAATTCATATATTACTATGTGCCCAGTTGTCAATAATCATTGACCTGACAAGTAACACGCTGATGTTTACTGTTTTCGAGCATATGCTTCACGAAGATTAACAGGCCTAAATAAATAAGTAAGCAAATTACTTTTGAGTACATTTAGGTTACTAAAATTAGTAAATGGTGCAAATTTACACTTTAAACCTATTACGTCAATACAAGTTAGTGAGAATAATACTAAAGTAACAGATATGGTTGAATGCACACTTTGGTCAATGATTTGAAAATTAAACAGTAACTGGATAGTTATCAGAAGACGAAACCAATGGTCAACTAGTCGAATATACAATAAATAACTAAAACCGTTATTTTTATTAAAAAGACTTAAACAAGTATGGTACAGCTTAATCACCCATAAGACAATAAATACCTTATCACTATAGGGCTGTGGATATTGTTGAGTTTAGACTAATACTGTAGACCATCAACGTTGATGATCTACATTGAACGATTGTGGGCCTACTTGAGTCGAACGGGAATGGTGTGACCAACAGCTAACATCGAAGTCACATCTCGAGGTCAGCACCTAATATGGACTACCCTTTCGTCGTATCGAGGTACTATAGGTGCTTTGAAAACCATAAAACACAAGGGACGTTATTATGGAAATATATTAGCAAGAATTAGTACAGAGAAGATAGTGTGACTATCACCACAAGGGATCGATGATCTGTTCGATATTCAGTGACCCAACTGTCGGATGATTTGGCTAGGGCTCAGTAACATTTCACTGGCCCTACAATATTATGAATGAACCATTTTAGACCACCACTGAAAACTTGGAAGCACTGAATGACCGTTCCGTCCTAATATGAGACTTCTCCTCAGTGCGTGTCCACGATCCCGCACGCGGAATCACAAGTGGAAATTAGAGCTACAATAGTCCCAAAGAGATTCCATTTCTTTACATTGAATAAAAACCATAGGGCCAAGCTTTGAAGTTATACAAAAATTATGACTTCAATATATTATTAATCGTCTTTGTGTTCATTTTTTATATTTAATCTTAACTACTATTTTTTTTATTTTAAGAAAAGTCCATTTTCCGTTTGTTTGTTTTTTCTTAATTAATTCTCATTTACGTAATGAAGTATTAAGCCACCATATTGAAAAACTAGATTTGTTTTCTAATGTGACTTTCTTATATTCTCTATTAACTTAAGTAGATAAATAAAAGTAGCCCAGTCGATCACCAGAAGAAAGTGGAAGGAGAAAAGTAAGCGACCTTGTCTGACTTCGGTCCTTTCATGGAATGCATCTGTCAGTTGTCCTCCATGCACCACTTCACACTGTAGTCCGTCAAATTAGTAGTAGTAGTAGTAGCATTAGATTTTTCTTATGATTTACTGTTTTTGTCTTTTAGTAAAACTTTTATGGGATTTAAGAATGTTTATTAGATCCATTATAAAGTGTCTTCTAACAACTCTTCCTCTGGTTATGTTCTTTATACCTTATCGTGCTATCTACTTTGGGTATTTATCAATCTCAAATGGTTTCTTTATAGTACCTTGAATTTGTTGAGTTTGATATGATTCTTAACTGGAAACATCATAGTTGGATGTTATTAACTGTTATAAGATTGTATATGTGCATTTACAGTATTACTTTTTATTAACCTTGAATACATTCCCACTGCCTTTTGGATTTATTTAGGTTGAATATTGAGTCAATTACGTAGTTTTAGAATCCAGAGCCAATTGTATTACTTGTATTTTGCGAAAGGGATAAAGAAGAGTGAACTTGATAACAAGTATAAAACACATTTCCATTACTTCTTAGTTTCCAATACTTAACTAAGACCATTTTGTAAAATGAAAAATCATGTACATAAATCAATCCGATTTTCTATATCAGTTCCCTTTCTCTCTCTCTCTCTATCTCTCTCAACCTCCCTCCCTTCCTCTCTCTCTCTCTTAGAAAATAACTAACCTGTACAGTATAATTCGATGAATTCATCAATAGTTTCACATCCATGTCAAAACAAATATGTTAGAGTGATCCAGTAACTAACTAAATTACAATGTATATTACCATTCGTTTATTTATCACTTGGATCATACTAAACATAAACGTATATTGCAAAAGGTAAGCTTAATGGATAAAGATGTGTAATCTCATTTTCGGATATATATATATAAGAATACATAGTACAAGATCATGTTATTTATTGAACGAATTATGAACTATTGTTAACAAACAATATAATGTAAATGCATTTTGTTATTTACTTTGATAGTTAATCATTGAATATCATCATTAGAAGAAGTTAGATATTCACGTGAGTTTCGTAAAACTTGTCACTATCTTATAATTAGTAAATGCTTAATTTGCAAAATCACCCTTTCTCTTTCTCCTGGTGATCGACTGGATCGTGAAGACGTCAACAGCTGGCAGGAGCACGAGATACAGTAGCAGCTAGGATGCAGTTGGACGATCTAGACTTCGCAGATGATCTGGCCATTCTATCCCAAACGCAACAACAGATACAGGAGAAGACGAACAGTGTAGCAGCAGCCTCAGAAGCAGTAGGTCTCAATATACACAAAGGGAAAAGCAGGGTTCTCCGATACAACACAGAATGCACCAATCCAGTCGCAATTGACATGGAAGATTTCGAAGATGTAAAAACCTTTACATATTTGGGCAGCATCATTGATGAACATGGTGGATCTGATGCAGATGTGGAGGCGCTGATCGGCAAAGCAAGAGCAGCATATTTACAACTGAAGAACATCTGGAACTCAAAGCAACTGTCAACCAACAACAAGGTCAGGAATTTCAATACAAATGTCAAGACAGTTCTACTGTATGGGGTGGAAACCTGGAGAACTACAAAAGCCATCGTCCAGAAGATACAGGTGTTTATTAACAGTTGTCTACGCAAAATACTTCAGATCCGTTGGCCGGACACTATTAGCAACAACGTACTGTGGGAGAGAACAAACCAGATTCAAGTGGAGGAAGAAATCAGGAAGAAGCGCTGGAAGTGGATAGGACACACATTGAGGAAAGCACACAACTGCGTTACAAGACAAGCCCTTACATGGAATCCTCAAGGCCAAAGGAGGAGTAGAGGAAGACCAAAGAACACATTACGCCGAGAAATGGAGATAGACATGAGAAAAATGAACAAGAATTAGATGGAATTGGTAAAGAAGGCCCAGGATCGAGTGGGTTGGAGAATGCTGGTCTGTGGCCTATGCTCCATTGGGAGTAACAGGCGTAAGTAAGTAAGTAAGTAAGTAATTTGCAAAATGTCCACTATTTCCACCAAAATAACTCACAGTTCATTGTTCTTGCATTTTCATACGAATTGCATTTTATTTCCATTCTTTACTGTTCGATCGTCTTGGTTCTCTGCTCTCAGACTTTTTGTTCATGACTAACATCATATACTAATTATGTCAATATAATTAGCACACACCACAATGCTACTAAAATAAACCCGGTAATAAATTGAATAATTCAATAGCAAATTCTTCAACTATGATATTAGACGATATGAATTAGAGTTTGACTAGATCATCATAAAATATGAGTCCATAGTTCTTTGATCATTATGTCCAACTACATACTACTAAACTCAGTGGATTGAAATATCATGTACCAATGAAATGTGGAAATTCTTCTTCTTAAAATTTATCCAATATTCTTCTCATTCTGCCCAATAAAATTCATAACATTTATACATCTACCATTCATATATCTATGCTTTTGCCTTCCATAACATTAGGTGAATACAAGTAAAAGCATTACATTGGTATCTTATTTACAATTTTCACAATCATGACACAGTATAAAGTGTTGAATTACATTTTCCTTCAGATAGTGGAGAATATTTGAAGTTTGTATAGATGATTATGGTGAAGTTCCATTCTTTCCAATATATGGTTTACTCATGTAACTTTGATTGTCCTTCTAAACAATATCATCATCATCATCATCATCATCATCATCATCATCATCATCATCATCATCATCATCATCATCATCATCATCATCATCATCATCATCATCATCATCATCATCATCATCATCATCATCATCATCATCATCATCATCATCATCATCATCATGAACTTCAAGTCGAAGTCACTAATTTCAGCATGTTATTTTTGTTTTGTCTACTTATTTATTTATGAATTCAATCTATTACGTATAACTTCATCAATTAATATTTCACAATACGAAATCATGCGGAATTTAAACTAACTTTCTGTATCTAAACACAATTTCAATGACGTAAGAATAAATATTATTGAAAATAGTCACAAAATTAATAATAGAGCATAATAATAGGCAAATATGGATAGTGAAATCTATGACACGCGTTTTGTCCTATTTGAGACGTGTCAGCTGGATATATCTGCATCCCAGATTTGATATTCATTCTGCGACTTGTAATCAGTACCATTCGCTTCAAACGCCAACGAATTATCCACAATACCAAGTAAATATTAAGTGTAATAATGTTCAGTATGACTTTAAGGAGGAAAATATTGTTTGTAAAATTCTCATTGATTTAACTTTAAGTAAATCCAACGTGTTATATTAATTCAGCTCTTAATCACTGTGAAACTATTCGTTCAAATTTAGATAAAAGTCTGCATCAAATTCATTATGACTGTTCATTATCATTAAGGAAGAATCTGTATGCGAAACAATAAAGCAAGTAAGAATGTACAAAATTTAATGTTATCCATCTAAAATTGAAAAGATCAAATGTTGAATTTATGAGTCGATGTAAGCTAGACCACTATTGGAAACCCGAAAGTACTGGATGGTCGTTTTGTCCTAGCATTGGAGTCCTCAGTAGCGCGCATTCACCATTTCGCATTTGGGACTCGAAGCCGTGAATGCTTGACCCTTAGACCACTGAGCCGACATCCAACAAATTTAATGTCTTCAAGATGATTTCATGGAATTCTTGTGAGAAGCCATGAACAGTGGACTGCGATCCCTGTCGTGTAGCGACAGGTATCTACCTCAGACAATGGATGAACGATTGCGCAAGATCATTGATCGATTAAAGTTATACATTAACACAGTTGGATGGCAGCTCAGTGGTCTAGAGGTCGAGCATTCGCGCGTGAGACCTAAGATCCTAGCTTCGAGTCCCAAATGCGGGATTGTGAAGGCACACCGCTGAGGAGTCCCATACTAGGGCGAAACGATCGTCTAGTGCTTCCAGGTTTCCAATGGCGGCCTAGCTTACATCAACCCATGAATTCAACTGTTAAAATTACTACAATCTCTACTAACCCCCACTGCGAACATTAAATGGTGAATCTCAATTGAATGAATAAATATTCAGATTAATAGGGAGAAATAATCCAATCAAATGATATATTATTCATTTTGGATTTAACGAGATAACGAGGATCTTAGTAATAATAGTAATAGTAATAATGAAATCGTGTGGATATAATAGTATTAATATAGTTAAAGAGGTGTTGTCAAGGTAACTATGATAACGTATCCTTGTGAATTGGAAAAGACTGAATTATTCTAAAAATGGGTTTGATACCTACAAATTCTAGGAATTTACATTTTAGCGCTTCCTCACAGAGCGACTAAGTAAGGGTCTAGTAAAGAAAGAAAGCAGCTCGAGATTGGCCTCTTTAATGGAAACCGGTCATAGTGCCAGCATAAGCCAAACTTTTTCATTTATTCATCGGGTCAGTAATTTTTTTTACCAAAGCTTCTCAGACTCAAAGTCCTTCAAAGCCACCTGGATTACGAAACCAGAGCTAAGTGTACAAAAGAATTATCTTCAGGTGCTCCTACTGCCTTGGCCAAAGTCACGTCCAATTAATCAATAGTAATCTTAGCTATTGAATGACCGAATTTGACTAATCCACTTATAACCTTTCTTAGTCTTTGTTATCTTTATTATTATTATTATTACTATGATTATTATTAATGGTTTAACATCATCATTAATCTCCGGAATATACCATCCATTTAATTTGCTTTCATCCCACTTTGTAACTTTTTACTAATTTCACATAACATTTTTACACATTACAGTTTTCCACTGAATCTTTGATAGAACTTGTAATTGCACTATTATTTCTCTTACCCTATCTGATCCATATTTATTCTGATCATGGATCTTAACATTTCCATTTAACATATGAGTCAAGTGAACATTCCATATGAATCATATCAACATGAACAATTTTATTCTATTTTATTTGACAAACCTAAATTCACATGCTTTAAACGATGTACTTTACCCTTAACCTGATTAACTTTCGGATGATTAATTTGGATATATGAATTGTTGAACCTGAAGAGAATTTATCGAAAAGAATATTCATTGTTCAAATATTAGTCTTTTAATACAATGGGGATTTTTACAAACTACATTAATAGTTGGCGGATATGAAGGATACACATAGGGGAGTTGAAAAAACCCGATTCCAAACTAATGGGGCATATGAACTCCAGGATCCTGAGGGAACAAATGGCTTATGAACCTATTGTTGGTCATCGGCCACCATAGGACTGCATCTCCTGACGTTGCTCCACTGCCTTGTGGATTAGATCTCTTGATCAAAGGCTCCGGGTGTGGCTTCCTAAGAAAATCACCTGCTTTGATTTGGGCATCCTGACAATATCACAGCCCTTAAACAAATCAATGATAACTACTACTAGCCTCATTGTTAACGTGTGGCGCATATGTATTCGGTGCCCCCTTGTATTAATGTTTATGTGTTAAAATAAATAATACATTAGTTGTTGCCGGATTATGATGAATTACAATTCAAGATTGACAATTGTTTTGTTTCTGAACAAATTATTTGGATTGAATTCGTTTAGTAATCGATGTACAAATAAATAAATACGTGATAATAGACCGGATCAGTTAAAGAAATGTAACTTACTACAAATTGATATTTTGGTTCATCTTGAAAATAAAATAAATAAAATTCATTCATATTTACCTAATTACACGTGTTACCCATCAAGTAGGACCCTTGACCACCCACCATCATTCGCCATCCAACCCTGTCCTGAGAAATTCTTTCCAGTTGCTATTCATCCTTTTCATGTCTGCCTCCTCGACTCAGTGTGTTCTTTAGTCTTCCACTTCTCCTTTGGCCTTGAGGATTCCATGTGAGGGCTTGTCTTATGACACAGTTGTGTGCTTTCCTCAATATGTGTCCTATCAACTTCCAACACTTCTTCCTGATTTCTTCTTCCACTGAGATCTGGTTTGTTCTCTCCCATAGTAGGTTGTTGCTAATAGTGTCCGGCCAACGGATCTGAAGTATTTTGCGTAGACAACTGTTAATAAACACTTGCATTTTCTGGATGATGGCTTTCGTATTTCTCCAAATTTCCACCCCATACAGTAGAACTGTTTTGACATTTGTATTGAACATTCTGACTTTGTTGTTGGTTGACGGACAATTGTTTTAAGTTCCAGATGTTCTTTTTCTTTTTCTTCTTCTTCTTCAACAACAACAACAACAATCAGGTCTAATTATTTTTCTTGAAAAGAATCATTTTTCCTCTAAATATTTCTCTAATTTTAGTTTTGCTTTGAGGTAAAAACAAAAATTCCAATTTCCAAATGAATGAACTAAAATCTACTACATATTGTAAAAATCATTAATCGGCGGAAAGTATTCCACTACTGGGGATGTTTATCAAAATATAGATAGAAGTTATATTGTCTGCTTTAAAACAGATCAAATTTGATTAATTAGAATCCTTTTGTGTGTGTGTGTGCGTTTGTTTCTATGCTTGTGTGTTTGTTTGCCTCTCCGTGTGTGTGTGTGTGTGTGATAATCTTGTTCCTATGTGAACTGATAAATATTGAAAGTAAGATTATAAATTATATGAAAACTATAATTCATAAAGAAAATCATTGAATCAAACAAATAAAATGTAATTCTCAATAGTTGAGATCATGAATCAATTGAAATTAGACTACCATGAAAAAAACATGGAAGCACTAGAAGGCAGTTTCGTCTTATTGTGGGTCTATATAGCAGTGTACTTGGTGGTCTAGTTTCAATGGACTCATAATCTCAACTATTAAAAATTACTATGATATCCATAAAATCCCTTCTGATGATATTAATCAACATATGCTCACTAGTGACGGTCTCCAAAATGTATTTCCTGGAGTTCTAATGAGAAGCAGTAACCAGTGAAGTTCACTTAGGTCTGTTGTGAGATAGTAACTCACTGATGACAATGATGGATGTGTCTCTCGATTTTGTAGATTAGTTGAAGTTAGATATTAACACCGTTTAATGCCGACTCAATAGTTTAGTGGTTAAGCGATCGAGAGCGAGACTGACGGATCCTTTGTTTGAATTTCGTGAATCGGGATCGTGGATGAGCATTGGTGAAGAGTCCCATTCATAGGACGAAACTGTCGTGCAGTGCTTCGAGGTTTTCCATGGTGGTCTAAATTCAATTGACTCATAATCTGAACTAATGAAATTACTACAATTCCCAAAAACGCTCTTCTGATAGAAATAAGATGTATTTTTTGGAGAGCTAAAACAGTAGATAAGGTATATTTAATTAAAATAGTCTAAATATTCCATATTATAAATTTTTATGCATTACGTTTGGTTTGTACAGGACAAGATTACTGAAGTTGAAGAATGTATGGAGCTCAAAACAACTGTTTGTCAATCAATATCAAAGTCACAATCTTCAATATGAACGTCAAGACAATCCTAATGTATGGAACTGAAATGTGGAGAACTACTACAAGCATCATTAAGAAGGTACAAGTATTTATAAGTAGTTGTTTACTCAAGATACTCAATATCAGCAACAGCCTATTATGGAAGAGAACAAACCAGCATGCATATGAAGAGGAAATTAGGAAATGATGTTGGAAGTGGATAGGACATACATTACGCAAATCATCAAACTGCATCACGAGTCATACCCTAAGTTGAAATCCTGAAGGGACATGGAAAAGTGAAAGGCCAATAGAAGACATTATGTCGAGAAATAGAATCAGATACGAAGAGAATAAATAACAACTAAAAAGAGCTGGAAAGTAATGATCAGGACAGAGTTAGATAGAGAGTACTGATTGGCGGTCTACGCTCCTTCACAAGGAGTAACGAGCATCATTAAAGAAGTAAGTAAGTTGATTTTAAATAATTCTTTAGTTAACATTACTTTCTAATTGTACAATGACATAAAGTCTTAAACT